AAGGCGGACTTTCGATCAATCTAGCCGTTATCTACAGGGGACTCTGTACTCTGTAGTATACAAGCATACAAGGCAACTATGCAAAGTGCAAATTTGACCCATATTTGGGGCATGGAATTATGCATTAAAGCATTGACAACTAAGGTTCTTTTTTTGTTTTTTTTTTTTTAATTGATCAGTGTATATAATAATTATACAAACATACAAAATAGCTATTTTTCTACAAGCGTGCGGGAAATGGCTCTTCCCGCAAGATTTGCTGTGTGGGAAGACTTTCTTTTCGCACCAGTGCGGGAAGAGTTTGAAATAATCATTGTGACATGATGATATCGAATTTTTTGTATTGTTGATAAACCAATACCTTTATACCTTTTCCCTTTTTTAGAAATAGGTACCTTTTAATACATTTCAATTCTACCATCTGCACAATCGCATTTTACTTAAATTAAATTTTTCGTAACATCAGCTTTAGTATACTCGTAGAAAAAATATAGTTCCTAACTCTTGCGGAAAGAAATTCCTGGCACTCGTTAGGAAAATATTTTTACATACTAATGAGCCTTATTATAGCAAGGTAGGGCAGTATGCCTGAGAACATGCGGAGCAAAATGTTGAGGTTTTCTTGGTTTTCTTGTTTTTTTTTTCGCTGCATCCTTTGCTTTTAAGCCTTGGGACTTTAGCATCACATAACACACATGGCATCGTTTTCGCGAAGGTGTACCGTCATCGTTTTCCATCTCTTCTAATTTGTTGGAAGAAACTCTAGGTTTCTTTGGTGGAAGAGGAGGAGGTTGATCTGCTCTTTTTGTATCATCAATATGATTCCGTAAATTGTAGAAGATTTGACTGTTGATTACAGTAGTGCAACAAATAAGTTCTATAACAATTTTTTTACACCAAATCATTGATTTTCTTAGTGAGGTATAGTAGCTTGATAGCTGATCAGATATGTCCAGGACCTGCTTGCCTTTATCATATTCTAAGACCACTTTAGGTTTCATTTTCTTATTTCCTTTTCTGTCTGTTCCTATTTCGACCATTTCGTCTCCATAGCTGACCTCTGAAAGGTATCATTGTGTCCACTACAACTGTGTCCCCAGGTTTCTAGAGGTTTTTGGTTATTTGCATGAATATATCCAGTAAAGGTTTTATTTTATGGATTCTGGTTCTGTCTTGTTCATCATTGTTTGCAAAGTGCCAGCATCTCAGGAGCAAAACAAATCTATTTTAGCTTGGAACACGGTGAAAAAGCGAATTATTATATATTGTGTCTTTTTTCCAGTAACTTTCGATAGATGGAAGACTGCAGAATTCCCATAACCAAAAGCAAGCCTGAAATGAAAGTTGTAACTAATAAGTACATTTCTTGCTGTACTGTTGTTCTTACTACCAAATCTACGACTATAAACTCACCATCGAATTTTCCCATTTCTTCGTTATTCGTATTTCGCCATCGTGAAAAACGAGATGATCAAGACCTTTTCGAGGCAAGAAATTGAGCTGCATATCTGGTTTTCAAAACCATTAAACGTCTCCATTGATTATTGTTTTGTAAACATCTATAGGATCAATATTGTCACCTCCATGTTGAATGTCCATTCGTAAGCCGGAAAGGCCAGAAAACTGTAATTTTGCTACATCTAAAACATCCCTAAACCATACAAGATCAACATCTTCATTATCAGACACATGGTTTATTTATTCGTCGCTGCTATTATCTGTACCTGTACCTAGAAACGAAATAAATTAATATATCTATAAACATCTCATAAGGCAAGGCAATGGTGGTCGTGTGGGTTAACGCGCTCGACTACAAGGGAACCGTTGATGGTAGACCGGGTTATAATGCCCTCAGATTGTTATAGGTATGTTACCGTATTTCGTTTCCTAGGTATTATGGATCTATAATAGCTAAGTAGAAAATAAAATATAATTACCTTCAGATTCATAATCGGGGTCAATAATATCAGCACCGCAATCTTTACTGAAATTACTAAAGTCATCAAATTCTTTTTGAAGTTCATTGTCATTCAAGGGTCTTTTACTGGGCCACATTATAATGACCTGAATCTAAATTAGACATAAAAGGTTATCCGGTTATTCACTGACAACATGTGCTAGGTAAGCCGATCGACTGGAACATCTATGGCCGAAAATTCTCCACATGCACGACAAAACGATGAACCAAATATGTCTCATCGGACTCTGTGCATGTAAATTTTAACTACAGACTCCCATGACCCAAATATGGGACATCAGTTTTTTATATGGAGGACTCCTGTGCCTGGCTGATGGGTTGTCATTTAGACAACGAACGTTGATGTTAGTATTTCCCCAGACTGTGTGGTGAGCATTTACATCATATCTGATGAGCAGCTGTGTCCCATTCGTCCTACAGTGTCTCCCCAGATCCTTCACACTTCTGGTTGGTGTTGATTCAGGGTCATGGTAGGGTTAGTATGCCAATCCGATAATAATATCTCTCGGCCCATTGCCCTCAGGCCCCAATGAGTCTAATTCTGGCTGCCGTCAAATTCTTAGAACAAAAAAGAGTTAGGGGCAGTACTTACATTGCCGTTCTTTTCAATATACAGGGTGTCCCAGGGAAAACAGTCCACCCCGATTTATTGGATTTGGGATGAGAATCTGGAAAAACGCTCGAGCACGTCGATGTTTGATTTGAGGAGGAACTATTTTTAAGTTTTTTTCATCCCCGTAGCTTCAACATCCTAGCTAAGGAGAGAACAACCCCCCAAATTAGAAGAGGGGATAGGGGTCGTGTCATATCTCTTTTTAAAGGTCTCATAGACTTCTTTATGGCCTTAGAATTTCGTCACATTATTTTCATCCGTAACGAAATGACAGGGTCTTGATAACTTCTACTGAGGTCGCCTCTGGCTCTGATACGAAAACGAGGAACCTTGACCTTACTGGGAGATCCTCAGGGTTAACAATCCTAAGTTCTGCATCCTCCCCAAGGGGTTCTATGCTTCTCCGGAGCCAGTCTGCCGTCTCCTGGTTAGCGCAGGTCATCCATAGGATTCCAGCTATACCCCATTAAGATTTTTGAAATTTTTTAAATATCTTTTTTCTATTAAGTATAGATAGAAAGCTGAAATTTCCAAGGATTTTCATTCTCGTAGAAGACTACAACTCCTGAGAATTTCAGCTCATTTGAACTTACTTATAGGTCAACAAATAAAATCGCGTTAAGGCCGCGTTAATGGCCGCCATGTTTAAACTGTGATTGGTTAATTTTTCGAAACTTATTTTAAGGTCTTTAAAAAAACGGCACATCAGAATTGGCTCAAATTTGGCATAAACATTATTTAATCGATTATTTACAATTCCTTATTTTGGTTTTTCGATATTCAGCCTTTTTTTTTAAATTCAAAAATCATGTTTGCAACCACCAAAACAATTAAATGTGTTGGTGGTTGCATATTTGCATGTTTATCAAGCTTGGATCCGTGAAAAGCATATTTTATTGATAACCACGAAAAACTAACAAAAGCTAATTGTAGAGATTGTAGATAATATATCAAATAATGTTTATGCCAAAGGATTTTGGAAATTATTGCGGATTTTTTGAGATGACCTTAAAACGAATTTTGGAGGTGAAAACAGTTCAAGCAATCTCAAGTAGATGGCGCCACGGCTAAAAAGCTACATTGGGAGCATCATAATTGTATATTTATCTTTCTCTGCCACTAATTGTTTCACCGACAAACAGATTTTGTTTTGAACAAAAAATAAAATATTGAACCGTATGTGTAGAGTGACGCAGTGGTCATTTTCAAAAACTAAATTTAAACATGGCGGCCATTAACGCGGCCTTAAGCAATTTAGGAAGAATTTTTCAATTTCTCAATTTCCTGACGTATTTTTTCAAAGATTTTGGCTTCGAATCTCAGAGTAATTGTTTATTGTATGGAGTTTGGAGGATCCCAAATGATCATTTCACGGTTACTTACATCTATTTTGAAGGAACAAAAGTAGCCATTTTTCACTTCAAAAACTTCATTCATTCAACTACGAGGATTAGTTTTTGATTTCTAGAAGGGGACAACCAAAACAGTTTTCCAGATTATTTTCCATTAATTTTACGTCGAGGTTTTAGTTTATTTTTCAATTCTCAAAATTTTGTATGTATGTTATTTATTGCCTTTTGAACTTTTATACAATGATTTATTTTACATATACCTGGTATACGACTAACCAAATCAATTAAAAATGCAAATATTTCCGAAATTGTAACCACAATAATTATTTAAAAACTTCATGTTTCTCCGAATAATATTTGATAACAAATGCGAGCTGTAATTGATTGTCACTTTTACCTAAAAAAAAAAAAACACAAACATAAAAACACAAAACGTTTCCTACAACAAAATACGTAATTGCATATATTTATCTAATTAATAAATACCGGTAGAGTCTTGAAATGACACATGAAATACAAAAATACAAGAAAAAAAAAATTACGAAATCCTCGTTAAATAACGAATAAACATTTAGATTTATACATATAGGTGTAAAGTTTTTCATTGCCATCTGTTGGGTAAAAACCGCGACAATGATCTTGAATGGTAAACTGGTACTTATTTACCAAAAAGAGTTCAATGGAATTCTTCGTCTAAAGCATTATGTTTACACATTTACATCAAAAATATTAAGATTTTGGAAATATTTTGCTAAATGATAAAACAATGTTATAAGAAAATATATGTAGTTTGATTAAAACTAATCTAATTTGAATCTGAGATCAATTTTTGATTGACATAAATATTGTTAAATAAATCCAAAATGGTTATATTGTTATATTTTGTATGAATGGTGGGTTCTCGACGACATTTCTTTAATTGAGTACCGACGTCATTACGAGTACTAAAATACGTACTCACGATATACATGCAAGTCCTCCTATATCCCCCACCATCGCCGGGTTTTAAAGTTAAGCGCTCGATTTTAAAAACCATTCTTTTTATATATTTTGACTGATAACTTGAATAAACCCTTAGCGGTGCATACTTGATAAATTAAGAAACAATAAACGAGCGGTCTTGATAAATTTTTTTCCGATTCAAAGACACAAGTGACTGTGATAAATCGTGCCAGTTTTCTGGAATTGTGATCTTTTTGTCAGAGTGGTATTATTGAGACGACGTGAATTATGGAGTTGAGATATGGAATGAGAAAAGGTGAGAATTTTTGTATAATTTTATTTTGGATTTTTTCAAATGATATCAGAAGAGTTTTCAAATTTTAAAATTTTAGTTAATAGTGTAAACATTATGCCTATAATAACGACATATGTGAATCCCCCATATAATTTTTATTTCACCTGAAAATGTTTTGTTATTGTTTCTTATATTATGCATTGTCACCAGTTGGTTATTATTACAAGAGGCTTAAGTGATAATGAAACCATTCACAAAACTAAGAAAATGTGAGCAAAATATTGAAGATATCAAATGAATGACGGAGGCTTTGGGGAAGAAATAATTTTTGTAGTTAGATGCCTGTATTGATTTTTTAAAATGAGTTATAATGTTGTGGGAATTGTGAATGTTGATTACATATGGGATTGGGAACTTCGTTAACTTGGACAGAAATGTTGGTTCAATATTTTGCATAGAAAATAAAAATCTTACAAAAGATGAAATACAAATTAGCAATAGTTAAGCTATTTCTCAAAGAAGATACCTAATTTTAGTAAATAATAGAGATTATTTAAATTTTTCCAGCTTTCCAAAGAACAGCTTTCTCAATATGTAAATTCATCAAATTTTAAAAATACATTAATAAGCATAATATTCTATTCAATATTCGATTTTCAATTAATTTATGGTTCTAAATATATGTGTAGCAATAATTCAAATTACAAAAATGGTTAAGTTTGATGCAAATTTGTATTAATTTTTCAAATTATAATTTATTCCTCTCCTGTGGAATAGATTAAAATCCTAACTCATCCTGAAAGTGTCTTTTCCTGCACCCATAATAAACATTTGCTATTACATTCCGCACTTGTTAATAGAAAAATCACAATTTCGTCATAATTTTTCATGAGATTGTCACATACCTTCGCTCGCAGGAAACGTAAATAAAAATGTTAAGTTACAGCTATTTTTCTTTATAGGTAGGTAATCAAATATTAACACTTTCATATTATTTGCACTTAAGTGAGTATTAACACAAGTCTCTAATTTTATTTTAAACAATTCTGGGGATTCCCACAAAAATAGTATTTCGCATTTTCAAACAAATCCAGAATTTATGAAATACAAGTATTGTAGATACACCGAATATAGTTATTTAAGTATTAAGAGCGGTACCTAAGTGTCATTTACCACCCGAGAGTGTATAAAGTGTATGAATTCAATATTCGAGGGTGGTTAACGACACTTAACGCCCAAAATACTTATTACGTTTTATACACATCGGACTCTTCCAGTTCAAAAATAATATCTATACAGGGTGACACAAGGAATAGGGAACAACCTATAACTTTTTTAATATATAAGTTGAAAATCTGAAATTTGGGGAGCTTAAACGAGACAACTTTTTGAGTTTTTTAGAAGTAAATTGCGTTACCAGTCACTTCCGGTTAAACCGGAAGTGGCCATAACTTTCAATTTTCAAATGGGTCACCCGGTATTTTTTGAGTTTTCTGGCATCAGCAAATCATTTTACATATGATAGGACCATTTTTGAAAGATTTATAACAAAACCGAAAAAAAAAAATTGCATTTAAAAATAAAGATTTTTCAAAAGTTGTTGGGTTATTTCTTGGCGGATTTTAAAATAATTGATATCAAAAAATAGGGAAAAAAAATCTAGTTTCAAAAAATTTTATTTTCCGGCGTGGTTACATTTGAAAAATATGGAATAGGTACTTTAAAAAAACCTCTTTGTTTAATTTTGATCTGAAATTATGACGTTCAGTTAGGAAAAAATTGAAGTTACAAATTTTCCTGATATTAAGAATATCCAACTAAATCAATTTACACCAGTGGCAGCGCCGAATTTTTTTTCTAAAAATTAATTCAATTTATTTATTTTTTGTTAAAAATTTTCCAAAAATGGTCCTATCATACTTAAAATGATCTGCTGATGCCAGAAAACTTAAAAAATACCGGGTGTTCTATTTGAAAATCAAAAGGGATGGCCATTTCCGGTAAAACACGAAGTGACTGGTAAAGCAATTCATATCTAAAAATCTCAAGAAGTTTAAGCTCTCCAAATTTCAAATTTTTAACTTATATATTAAAAAAGTTATAGGCTGTTCCTTATTTCTTGTGTCACCCTGTATAATGGCATCCATTTTGACATTGGTTTCAGAAGTAAACAGTCTCCCTTTTATATAAAGGCGTGTTTCCATTGAAAAATTGGCAATCTCTGTATTTGCAAATCTTCCAAGAATCAACCACTTTTATCATTCTCATTGTTATCCATAACACATCCGACTTTTGGTAATAATGTATGTAGGCATAGTTGTTGGGTGCTCCTAAAAGAGACAGGCGGTAAGATCAACTTACCGCCTGATGGTGCATAAAAGTATAGAACAAGTTTATGAAAGAAACCCAACAGAAGACAGCAAAAATGATACGTATTTAACGAAAAAAAAATGCACATAACTGGAAGGATATGCTCAGAGGTATGGAGATTTATATCAAATGTCAAAAACCCAGGAAAGGACAGATCCAGGTAATCAAACCAGAGCAATGAATAGAACAATACAAGAGTAGACCGAAATATATATTAGATTTTCCAAGACATATTCAAGTACATATACATGGAGGAGTAGTTGTGATATCCGAAGAAACAGTAAAAAAGACTATGAAAAATCTTAAGGCAGGTAAAGCTAGCGGTCCAGAAGAAATATACCCCAAAATGCTGAAATGGGGAACTGACAAGCTCTTTAAAGGTCTCACATGTATTATCAATAAATGTCTAAATATGGACATCCTATTCCACGATACTAGAAAACGGCTTTTATATCATCACATTCACAATAAAAAGAATTAAGCTGGACTGCAATAACTATCGGGGCATATCAGGCACAAGCACACTAAGCAGACTATACGGTAGAATCCTGCTTGATCTCATTGCAGAAGATTATAAAGACGAAGAAGAAGAAGAACAGTGCGGAATTTAAATAAAAGAAAGTATCTATGTGTAGGCACCCAGAACGGAAACTTGGAAGTGGACGATGGTAAGGAAATTCTGCAATGTCGGAAATATAAGTATCTAAGTATCACATTCGACAACACCGGAACAGTTGTAAAAAAAATAAATAAAAAAGCGAGTAGTTAAAACTAAAAATGTAATAGGATGCCTAAATGGAATTTTACGGAGCAAGGAACTAACAAGAAAGAGAAAATTCAATATATACGAGACATAAGACAGAGATAAAGAGCGCCTTCTATATAGAGCCGAATGCACGCAACTCTTACGAAGACAGAGAATAAGGAACGATACTTAAAAACAACAAATGGGAATAGAGGCACAATAATTCAAGACATTGAAAGTAAACAACTTACGTGGTACAGATACGTAGAACGAGAACGAGTGCCAAATACCAGGTGGCCCAGAAAAATGCTGCATTGACAACCAACAGGTAGAAGAAAGATCAAAACTGGAATGGCAGAAGAACATACAAAAGTCCATGAGTGAAAAAAATCTCTCATCAGAGGATTGTGATGATAGAAGATAGGCATCTCAATCTTGATGTTTTATAATATTTTTGACCAGTTACAGAGGATTTTGTGGATAAAACATCAAAACATCTTTCCATGTTTTAAGAATTCAAAATCACATTTTTGCAGATTGTTTTAAACAATTTGGTTGTAATGGGACTGAGTAGTTGTCCAAAAGAGAAATTTCCTCTCAAATTCAAGATGGAAGTCAAGTTTTTTTGTAGTTTCAGTTTCAGTTTGCCCTCTAAACCAAAGTTTGAATCATTTTCTTCGGATTTGTATCAAGGAACATATTGGATAGAAATTTGCGGTCACATAGGCAAGTAACTCAATTTTTCGACTCGACTTTGTCATACAATTTGGAGATTTCGCTGGCTTACCAAACTTGCAACGTCGTTTTCACATATTTGTATAATCATTAACATAGAACATTCATACATATACTTATCTTTACTTGAAAAAAATCTCGATATTCAGGACAGTTTAGAACTGCTTTTCGTTGTCAAGCCATTTGCAAAATTGGCAAATAGATATTGCAATCAAGTTTTGATGTATATTTTTTAAAAAATTTATTTGTCTATTTATTTGTAGCAGCTAAATATTTCAATATCAAATACAACAGAATTAATTACAATTTCTAAAAATAATATATAAAGGGTGAATTTTATAAAAATCAGCAAAACTTTTGAGATTCCTCAGAATCGGTGGAATGTTCCAATGATAGTTCCGGCAAAAGCTCTGGCATGTATGGGTTTTCCTCAAATTACCTAAAACAAACTAATTACCTTCTTGCCTTGTTAAGGGATCACTTTCTCTTTAAACGATATTTTCCAAGCCTTCAATTTCATGGGTAATAGAAAGTACTCTCACTATTACAGTTCCTTTGCACAGGAAGGTACATACATAGTATCATGTGGGCTTTTCTTTCTTTCTCATAAGCAGACATTTTCGTTTTGTAAAACTGTTGATGAGGATTTGAAGCTTTCAAGAAGCATCTTTCATACTTTGTGAATAAGCAAAAGGGGTTTGAGACCATGTGAAGGCAAAAATTAATAAAAATTCCATGTACAACTTTTTCATCACGTTCTACACAGGCATGAACACATTTGAAACAATGAGGACGTAAAAACCTCATTACGTGCCATTTTTTAGCCAATTAAATAAAATCACTATTTTAATCCTTTCTGATTTTGAAATGTTAAATAATAATAATTTTGCAAAAAATTAAATTTAAGACTAATTGCTATACGGTCTAAAATAAATTTTATATTTGAATACATTTTAAAGGTCTATAATGGACTTCAATCCATTAAAGTCACAAGCATCAATTTGACAAAGTTTTTTGTTCGTTTGGTAGTTTTTTCTAATAGAATTTAACATTGTTCCGATCGGCACATTGAATGTTTATAGTTTAATTGTATTTCCGATGAGTAGGCATCGCATATTTAAATAGGTATTTTAATTACTCTAATTTAACTTAGGTTATATACAGGGTGTTT